ACGGTCTCCCTGTATCACCAGCTGACCTGGAACTCACTATGTAGGCCAGGCTGACTTTGAACTCAAAGAGATCCACCTGCCTCTGCCTCTTCTGCTGGGATTAAAGGTGTGTGCCACCACGACTGGCTCTGAATTGATTTCAAAATGGAGCTGGGGATGTGACTCAGTTGGTCAAGAGCCTGCCTGACATACATGCAGGAAGCCCTGGGTCTGATCCCCAACCTCGCAGAAAACCCATCATGGTGGCACACACCTGTAATCCTAGCACTCAGGAATTAGAGACAGGAGGATCAGAAGGTCAAGATTACACTTCACTTTGAGGCAAACCTGAGCTACATGAGACTGTGTCTCAAAAGGACAAACAGAAATTAATTTAAAATGTGTTAATCTGGGTGTGATGGAATGCCTGTAGCCCCAGCACTGAGGAGTTGGAAGCAGGCGGATGACTATGTAGAGATGGCTATGGTGAGAACCTGTCTCACAAAACAGACAAAAGAGTAGATTGTCTATTGTTTGCCTAGCATCATAGTAGTGTTCCCTTATAAACAAATGTTTATTGAATGGCTACTGCATTCTGTGAGGCACTCGAGCAGTGAAAGAGACAGACACGTCACCACCATCATAGACTCACACTCCAGTTGGGCAAAGAGACTTCAACCATTTTAACTACATTAGGGACTTTGAAGGGCAAATATGAGGTAACTTAAGGGCCCATGACAGAGTGATCTAGCTTAATCTCAGACAGAGGAGGCTACCGAGACACTATGCCAAAGCTGAAAGGAGTGATGGAAGAAGACATAACAAAAACGAGTGGAGAAGCAAGAGAGAAATTTAGGGAAAGAAGAGGCACTGAGTTTGGTTCTGTGAGGCCGAGCAGCCTCATCTGCAATACAGTCAGGTTTCTGTCTGTAGCATGTTTGCTGATGTCTTATCACTAAAGATTTAAGGCCAGATTTAAGGTGAGCTAGGACTACACGGGCTGAACATCAACAGACATGATTTGCTGTGAGCTGTGACTAGAACACCTTGCCACAGACAGTACCAGGGTGAGGTTAAAAATGGCACAAATGAGCCGGGCGTGGTGGTGCATGCCTTTAATCCCAGCACTTAGAGGCAGAGGCAGATGGATCTTTGTGAGACGGAGGCCAGCCTGGTCTACATAGTGAGTTCCAGGCCAACTGGGGCTACAGGGAGACCCTGTCTCAAAAGTCTATAATAATTAATAATAATTAATTAGCTAATAAAAGCTCTAAGATTACAATGTTTCTCTAGACAAATGGAACCAATAGAGTTTTGTAATTTCTTTCCTTCCTTCCTTCCTTCCTTCTTTCCCCCTCCTCCTTCTCCTCCTCCTCCTCTTCTTCTTCTTCTTCTTCCCCCTCTCCCCTCTCCTCTCTTCTCTTCTTCTCTCTCTCTCTCTCTCTCTCTCTCTCTCTCTCTCTCTCCCTCTCTCTCTCTCCTCTCCCTCCGTTCACTGGCTACTCTGAGCTTCATCACTGCATTCACTGTGTAGACCACACTGGCCTCGATCTCTCAGAGATCCACCTGCCTCTGCCTCCCAAGTGCTGGGACTAAAGGCGTGTGCCACCACGCCCGGCTCTTTTTGCAGTACTAGAGCTTGAACTGTAACCTCACACTTGCTAGGCAAATTGTGTACAACTGAGCTATAATTCCCCTCCCATACTTTTCTGAGGCAGGGTCTCAAATTGCTCAGGCTGGCCTCAAATGTGAAATTCTCCTGCCTCACCATCCTGAGTAGCTGGTATTACAGATATGCACCATATACCTGTCTCAGAGTTCATCAAAATTCATACTTTTAAATTTTTTATTATTTTTATTTTGTGTGTACAGGGCCTGCAGAGTCCAGAAGAGGGTGTCGGATCTCCTGGAACTGGAGTTTCAAATGGTTGTTAGCCACCAGATAGGTGCTGGGAACCAAACCAGGGTCCTCTGCAGAGCAGCCAGTACTCTTAACCACTGAGCCATTTCTCTAGCCCCCCAAATCCATACTTTTAACCACTGAATATATTTTCAGCATATTTTCTTTGGGGATAAAATATCTGTGCTATGGTTTAGCATGTCAGCCCTTTCTCTCACTCTAGACTTTGGCTCTTACTACCCACACATGTCCTATGTTTTTCTCACACTCAATCTTGTATTTTTTTCAAAGCTGTCAGTCAAATGCATGCCAATGCATGTTAAGCAAATACTCTGAGCTATGGTCCCAGTTCCCAGGCCATGGCAAGCTGTCTTCTGCCTCTTTGCATGTATAGTACGCACCCTCTTCTTACAGCAGTATTCCCTCATCTTCACTGAACTAAAAGCTTTCTCTAGGGAATCTAGGAATTCCCTGTCCCTCTGTTCTCCCAATCTGAAGTAAATATCCCGAGCTGGGCGTGGGCCAAGATTAATACAAAATCCAATTTTTATTTTCTGTGTTATTTCCTTCAGCATTTTTTTCTCCACAATAAAGCACCATTTTGAAAGAAAACTGGGACGTACTTTGGTATTCTTGTGACTCTTATACTGTATGTGTTACTGTTCCTCACAGAGTGTTTTTCTGTACACTTCTAGGCCATCAGGTCCTTAAAGTGCATCAGATGAAGGGGACCGTGCTCATTGGAGTCAACTTCTTGGGCTATTCAGAGAAGGAAAGCTCCAAGGTGAGTGGAAATTATGACTAAAGAAATACAAATTGCCAGGCACGGTGGCACACGCCTTTAATCCCAGCATTCAGGAGGCAGAGGCAGGCAGATCTTTGAGTTCAAGGCCAGCCTGGTCTACATAGTGAGTTCCAGGACAGCTGGGGCTACAGGGAGACCCTGTCTCAAAAACACCAAAAAATAAGTAAATAAAATAAAATATATCTTTAAAAAAAAAAAAAACAAAGGAAAAAGGGGGAAGATGGAAGGGAAGGAGAGGAGGAAAAGGAAAGAAATAGAAATTAATTCAAATTAAGGCTCCTTTAAAAGTTGCTAGCTGGAGTTTTCTTTCGCCGAACTGAAGAGCCAGACGTTTCTATTGACCTCTGGGGCTACTTCTTTGCTAGGAAATTTCCAGCTTGCCCACATCTGCAGCTGTGGAGCTACTCCTGGTGGATGACGTTACTGTGTTGCCCAAGAATGCCACTGTCTACAACCACCCCGATGTGAAGGTGAGGGTACTAAGTTTGATGGTGAGGAAGGAAACTTCACTCACATGTTGAAAGCAGCTATGTAAACATAAAACCCAAACCCAAGTGATATGCTGTAACATCCTTAGGAGTTGGACTCTAGTGATCATGTTTTGTTTTGTTTTTTGTTCTTTGTTTTTTTGTTGTTTTTTCTTTTTGAAGCAGGGTCTCCCTGTAGCCCCAGCTGTCCTGGAACTCACTATGTAGACCAGGCTGGCCTTGAACTCACAGAGATCTGCCTGCCTCTGCCTCCCAAGTGCTGGGACTATAGGCATGTGCCACCACTCCCGGCTGTGATCATATTTTGTCCCCTGTCCATCGACCTCAATATTTCATCTCATGATGCCTTCTCATTTTTTTTGATAGGCAGAATTTATTTCCTTTGGATTATTTGTGAAGTGAATGGAATATTGTTTGTCTGATTTTTCTGTAGGAAATATTTAACCTTGTGGAAGGATCTGGTTATTTTTCAGTCCACAGTAGTGAGGAGGATATTGTGATCATCACTTACATGGAAGCAGAAAGCACTGTCCAGGTGAGTTGCAGAGAAGGTCCAAATGCATGGCCTCGAGCCCAACTTCTTTTGGTTTCATTTTTTGTTTCGTCACTTTTAGTTAATTTATGGTGTGTGCATGTATATGCTACAGCACCGTGTGTGGGGCCAAGAGGACAGCTTGCAGGACTGTCTACACTGAGCCATCTCTCTGACCCTCATTTCTGTTTTAGTCCATGGTGTCCTGGAACTTGCTGTGTAGCTAAAGCCAGTCTTAAACCCCTGATCCTTCTACCTTGTAGATGCTGGGGTGATGGACATGGACCACCAACCCCAACCCAGAGCACACTCTATTTTTTTTCTATTGTATTATACTAGGCTACATAAGACCATTTCAGTGCAAGTGTATAATATACTTTGAATATACTCCCCATTCCCCGATACCCTCCTCTCTAGCTCCTCCTGCCTGTTGTTAGTCTCCTTTGGTTCCCTAGAGAGTTTTGCTTCTTCAGTCCTGTCACTGTAGATACATGATTTTTTGTATTTATATAAAATCCAGGACCCACAAACGAAAGAAAACATAAGGCTGACTTAATTTGTTTAATATGATTATCTCCAGTTGCATCCATTTTCCTGTGAATGAGACAGGTGGATCTCTGTGAGTTCAAGGCCAGCCTGGTCTACATAGTGAGTTCTAGGCCAGCTGGGGCTACAGGGAGACCCTGTCTCAAAAAGACAAGAAAACATTTTTTTATTTCTATTTTTTCTAGTGTGTAGGCGTGCACTGCCTGCATGTGTGTCATGCACCTGTGCCGTGCCCTGCCTTCTTCCTTCAGGGTTTTGAAGTTTTCATTATAGAGCCTTGAACTTCCTTGTCAGGCTTAGTCCAAGGTGCTTTTGTTTTTGTTTGCATTTTTCATTGAGTTTTTGCAATTTGCTGTGTTTGTTGTTTGGTTTGGTTTGGTCTTTTTGAGACAGTAAAAAATTATGTTGGTCTAAGATGTGGCAAAAGTAGATTTTTCTCTAGGATCTGTGACCTCTCCAGCCATGTGTATTTGGCTATGTTTACATGAGTTACCTCCCACTTAGCAGGCCTTAATTACAATTAGACAGTTGTTGATTACTCCCAAAATAAAAGTGCTCCTACTGTACCAAGCACAATAGTTTGCTGGGCCAGTCATTGTTGTTTATTAGGCTTCACAGCTGGGTGGGACCACTGATTGGATTTCTCCCTTGGCAGCTTGTATAGTGAACTCTGATAGCATGAGAGCTGGTCTTCAGGGAGGTGGCTTCCTGGTCAGTTCTAGCTTGATTGCTCCAAGTCCTGCCTGTCTTCAGCAGTAGGGTCTTCAAGTTCTGGGTGGCAATCAAGGGCTGTGGCAATAGCCTGTGTTATTTTCGGAGTCTCTTGGACCACCCTGACCAACAACTCAAAGGGAGGTTTCTCCCGTCTGGCACTGTGTTTTTGTTATAGCCTTCAGCTATACGTGTATATATTTATTGTATGTGTATTTTTCTTGAAATTATTTATTTATTCATATATATATATATTTTTTTTTGGTCTTTTTGAGACAGGGTCTCCCTGTAGCCCCAGCTGTCCTGGAACTCACCGTGTAGACCAGGCTGGCCTTGAACTCACAGAGATCCGCCTGCCTCTGTCTCCCTAGTGCTGGTATTAAAGGCGTGCGCCACCATGTCCAGCTATTCTTTTATACACGCCGTAACTGTCAGTGAGGGAGAAACAAATGGACCAATGCTTTGCTTCTCCTTCTTTGTACCTCAGCCGCTATGCAGCAGGGTGTTTTGCTCACCCTAGACGGCACCTCCTACTGCCTCAGTCTTCACTTTGACACCTTAGTCCATGTATTGCCTGCATGCCTATAAGTGCAGCCATGCCATGCAATGCCCAAGGAGATCTGAAGACGGCATTGGAGCCCCTGGAACTGGAGTAACAGATAGTTGTTAGCCACCATGTGGGTGCTGGGAATCAAACCCAGGTCTGATTAAGACCACTAGTGCTCTTAACCACTGAGCCATCTCTCCAGCCCCTCTGTCTTTCCCCTTTATCCCCATGGTTCATTTCCATTTTCCTGCCTTCTGCAGTTACATCAGGATGTATGTTCACATTTAGGGATTTGGAACTAAGATCCACAAATAAGAGAGAACATATGTCCTTGTTTTTTCTGAGTCTGTGTTACTTAGTATAACAGTTCCAGCTTCTATGCATTTACCTGCAGATTTCATGATTTTATCTGTCTTTACTGCTGAGTAGAACCCCATTGTGTAAATGTACCAAATTTTTATTAATCTCTCATCAGTTGAGGGACATTTAAGTTGTTTCCATTTCTTTTTTTTTTTTTTTTTTTTTTTTTTTTGGGTCTTTTTGAGACAGGGTCTCCCTATAGCCCCAGCTGTCTTGTAACTCGCTATGTAGACCAGGCTGGCCTCAAACTCACAAAGATCTGCCTCTGCCTCCCAAGTGCTGGAGTTAAAGGCGTGCGCCACCAAGCCCAGCTTCCATTTCTTAACTATTGTAAAAAGAGCAGCAATAAACATGGCTAGGAAAGTTTCTCTGTATAGTATGATGAGTCCATTGGGTATGTGCCAAGGAGCGACTAATGTCCAATTTAGAAAGTTCTTTCCTGCACCTATATCTTGTAGGGTATTGCCTATGTTTTCTTCTAACAATTTTAGGCTTCACATTTGATCAATTTGGAGTTGACTTTTGCACAAGGTGATAAATATGGGTTTAATTTCATTCTTCTGCATGTGGACATTCAGTAGACTTCCATTTGCTGAATGAAGATGCCGTCTTTCCTCCGCTATGTGTTCTTGGCATCTTTGTCAAATATCAGGTGACTGTAATTGTGTGCACTCATGTTTGGGTCTTCTATTTTGCCACATTGATCTACAAGTCTGTTTCTGTAATCCTGCCTCATAGCACAGAACATCAGCCATCTGCAAACAGTGGCCGAGTGTATGTGTGGTTTCATACCAGTCATCTGAAACTGTGTAAGGTGTGGGAGGTCACAGCAATCTGTCTACCATGGCAGACAGAAGCCTTCATAGGGGCCTTAGCATCTTTGGAGCCTGGAGTTGGAGCAGGAGCCAAAGCCTGGGCCTGGGCCAGAGCTGCAGCCTTGACGTTGGTTTGGGTCTTGGCCTTTGGTTGGCAGTGCCTATGGTCTTTGTCCATGTAGCCAGGAATCTGCTTCCCAGACTTGGGGTGGACAATGAAAGCCAGTCAGTAGAACTTGTAGGTTGGTATCCTCTGGCCTCTTGAGCTGAACCTCTTTAGGCTTTAAAAGGCCCTTTAGAGTCCTGGCACAGGTACTCACTGCCTCACATCGTTTGCCTGAGCCCTCTTCAGGCCCTTGTGCTTCTTGACAAAATGCAGGTCCCTCAGGAACATGGGGTCAAACTCCTTAAGAGATTTCTATCTTTGTGACTGGGGTTTATTGATGCCATTTCTGTGCCATTTGGGGGACTGGTTGTGTGTGTGTCGTGCTTCTTGGACTTGGCCGTGTCTGCATGATAACTGTGCCTCCCGAAGCGCCTGGGACCAGAAGAGAAAGAATCCCAAAGGGTTTCAGCATTTTTGTTGGGGAATGAGGGGATGGGGTGGGTTGTTTGTTTATTTGCGATAGGATCTTACTAGGTAACCCTGGCGGGCCTGGCACTCGCTATGTAAACCAGACTGGCTCAGAACCCACAAAGACTCTCTGCCTCCAGAGTGCTGGGACTAAAGGTGTCAAAGTGAAGACTGAGGCAGTAGGAGGTGCCGTCTAGGGTGAGCAAAACACCCTGCTGCACAGCTGCTGAGGTAATGAAGGAGAAGCAAAGCATCAGTCCATTTTTTTCTCCCTCACTGGCGGTTACAGCGTGTATATATTTGAATTTCTCCATGATATCTTTCCT